AGCTCCAATGACATCATTTATAGACAACTCTTCGCTGAGCACAGGCACAAATATAGCAGTTATCTTCCAGTTTATACAGATGGATCCAAGTCAACAGATCATGTCGGGATGGCATTTGTAATTGAAGACCACATGGAGGGCAGACGCTTGCACCATGCCTCCTCTGTCTTAACATCTGAATTAACTGCAATATATTATTGTCTTTTGTACATCTCTAGGCTCTGCCACAAAAAGTTTATAGTTTATACAGACTCCTATAGTGCACTGAAATCTTTAGAAGCTTTTTCTAACACTCAAAACCCAGTCATAGTGGATGTTCTCAAGATACATATAAACCTAACGAGTCGTGGATATGAAATTCTGTACTGCTGGGTTCCCGGTCATGTGGGAATTAAAGGGAATGAGCTGGCAGATATCACAGCCAAATCTGCTGTTGAACTGTCCAATCGCCTCATCCCTTTTGGAGACATCTGTTGTGTTGTGAAAAAGAAGATACGAAAAATGGCAGCAATTTTGGGATGTTCAGCGTCAAAACAAGTTAAGACATGTAAAGCCTAGAATTGAGCATTGGGATTTTGCTGGAAATCGTAAAGAAGAAGTTCTTTTGACTCGCCTCAGAATTGGTCACACAAGAGTGACACATGGCTACCTTTTAAAAGCAGAGAATGAGCCTGTTTGTTCAAATTGTAATGTTTGTCTATCTGTCCGTCATATTTTAATTGAGTGGCCATATTTTAATAATCTTCGTCAGAAGTATTTTAATAGCTGTGACTTACCTCTCGACCGTTTAATCGGAAGGGAGGTGAATTGTAATTTATTTTATTATTTAAAAGAGACTGGCTTTTATCACCTAATGTAATTTGTTTTGAAAATTGTATCTTGAATTTTAAATGTGTGGTTTTAACTTGTTTTTATATGACTTCTTCCTCTGGATTTGACACATTTGTCTACTTGTTTTTATTTATTGTATTTTAATTTCATCAATTGTACTCACCCCATCTCGCGTTTGGCGCACTATAATCAACTTTGGTTTTGCGCCATAATCTCTCACTCACTCACGCCTGCATGCAAAAAAATTGTGATGACAACGGTAGGAAATGAAGCAGCAAAGAAAAGAAGCAAGATTTCTGTGCGCAGCGATACAGTTCAGAGACGTGTTATGTAAATGTCTTTTGCTGTTGAGATAAACATATGCTGTAATGAACAAGTATTCAAATTTTGTATTGCAAGTGAGTCAGCAGACAATACCAATAAGGTTCAACTCTTAGCATTTTTCTGTTTTATTATTGAGGATCAAATAGTAAATCAGTTTCTTTTTTGCAAAGAGTTGAGTATGTCTACAAAAGGTGAGGATGTTTTTAACATTTTGGAAAACTTTCTTGATAAATGGCAGTTAACATGGAAGTCATGTCTAGGCATTGAAGCTCTTTCCATGATAGGCTATGTTAAGGACCTTGCATCTTTTGTTTTTGTAAAAAAGCAAAATGAGAATGTTACATAACTCATTGCTTTCTTCATAAGGAGGCTTTGATTGTAAAAGTATTGGGAGGAAAATTAAGAGAAGTTTTATGAAGGTGTTCAGATGGTAAAATTTATTTAAACAAAATCTGCCGAAACATGTGTATTTGAGAAGCTTAGTTTCAATAAAAATAATCAAATTGAAATAAAAATAATCAAAATTCAAATAATTGTTGTAAACTCTTTTGGTAAGAATTTTGGATTGCCAGGTTACAGTATTTGGCTATTATATTTCAGCAACTCGATGTTTTGATCATTAGTATGTAAGGGAAAGAATAAAGTATTCTTACATCCATTGACAAAATGAAACATTTCAGAGAAAACTACAGATTTGGCAAAGAAAAGCTGTTGAAGGTAATTTTTGTTTTCATTGGGAAATAACTCTTGCAAAAATGAAATACTTCTAATAATAGTTGAACATTTAACAATCTTATAAGAAAAATTGAGTTCTTGAGTCAACATTTAAAAACACATTGAACATCTTACTACAGTTTTCAGCATCATATATCTGTGAATTAGGATTTTTCTGCTGTTATCACAATTCAGTGCAAAAAGAGAAGAATTCTTCAATGTATTGATGAAGAAATGAGAGTTTACCTTTTAATTATATGCCCAAATATTGAAGAAATCACTAGGACACACGAGGCTCATGTTTTTCATTGCTAATGGGCTGGATGCATGGACATTTTTATGATTTTCCACATGTGTAATGTGTATACGAACAAGTTTCCCTTAGAAAGTTCTCCACAAAGGCATCCCTCTCTTAGGCAGATAGTCCTCGAGGCTTTGCCGTAATCAAATAAACAAAATCAAACCATGATTCTTATAAACTTAAGCTATGTCTCATTTTATTTTTTTATGATATAGATATTTTTTTCTGTATTATTTGACTTAATTATTATAACATATTTCTCAGAAATGTGTATGTAGTGTACCTACAATTATTTTGCAGGTTTTAAATTGGTCCTGACTTTAAAAAACCACTGCTTTAGGTAATGTTGAGGCATACCCCTGTGTTTTTTGTAGAGCACTGGGAAGCGCTGCTCTTAGCAGGTTAACACCTCTATGTAGCACCCTGCTGCATAAGTCAACATCCATCTACATCATTCTGCATAAGACGCCTAGGTGTCTGGACCTGCTCTCACTTGTTCACCTGTGTGTTTTGGGTGTGCCATTTTGCTGATTCCTATAAGCATTACTTTCTAGCTATAGCATTAAGAGCAGACTGAAAATAATAACATATTAAATACTTAGTTATGAAAAAACTCTATTTTAAACGAAAAAAAAAATTCATTAGCTGAAGAAGCATAAACCATGAATACACATGCAGTTTGGTAACCATTTGTTTTTCACCAAAGTGGAAATGCATGAATGTAGCACACTATAGCCTTGTATTTTCTTTCCCAAGGCTGGTATGAAAGGGAAGTATTTTATTTTACCTTACAGAAAGCATTTTATCTTGCAGGTATTTAGCAGTGTCATAATATTTATATTATATTTCTCTTTTTATCTAATGAGCTTAAAAACATAGATTCTCTTAAATGCAGTGTTATATTTAGATTAAATTTGGATTATATTAACCCCAGAAATATATAATTCATACCTGCATAGTTAAGAAATTTTTGTGATTACTTACAAAATATTAACGGTATTTAGTTGTTAAAGAAGGAAAATTTTTTTCTCTTATTGAAAGTGAATGAAATTTAGAAAAGAGGATGAGAGAAAAGGGAGAATACATTTTTGTATTTGGAAATTGAGTATGATAAGTGGGGTAGAATGATCAAAGTTTCTGAGATCTGTAGCAAATTCATAAGCTAATGCTCACTAAAACATTTACCTTAATTAAGCAGAGAGAAAAATTACATTCAATGGAACAAATTCCATTGAATGTTTGCTTTGAACATTTATTTTGAAATCTATACATAAGATATAACAGTGTGCATCTTCAACCAATTCACAGAATTTCAGAGATTTGTACTGTGACTCATAAAGAAACCAGATGATCCTTTTATCAGATTGCTCGACAGGTAGAGGTGCAAGTACTTCATGTTTTATGAGTGTTATTGATAGTGGACCAAAACTCCAAAAGGGGGTATAAGAAACAGATTAACAAACAAGTAGCAAAGATTATCAGGAGGAACCACTTAACTGACAGAATTGGCCATGCAAATTATAGCTATTTATAGAATCAAGTGAATACCAGAACAGTCCAAGAGCCTCTGTCATGGAAACACAATTGTTATCTAGATAAATTTGTGAAAAGATCCCTTTCCTTTATTTCTTAATGTGCATTTTGAGAATATAGATGCAATAACAATAAAACTGCTTATTTCAGTTAATAGAACTGTATCTTGTTTTTAATTATGATTATTTATTTTTTTCTGACTGAAAGATATGTGTTCTGTCCATTTTTGACTGGTATAAAATTAATTTTTGCAAGGCAAAATAAAATATCATTAAAATCCATGTCTTGCACCGATTATTAAAACCCATTTTTAAAATTATAAATGTGTTAGAAACTGATTTAAGAAACAACAGAGTTTTCACTTTAATAAAAGTGGAATTCTCTTTACTAATTAAATAATTTTTGCTTTTAATAATAAGAGGTATTAGCTATTAGTAAAATAACATTAATTAATATTTTAAACTGTTGGTATGTTTTTTGCAACTGTCACATAGTGAGTATTTAGTGTTCAAATGTTTATTAATATAGAAAGCTAAAAGGATTATATTTGTGTACATACATTTACTTCAGTAAGGATAAGTGTTTTATTATTGTATATGACATATTTTCCTTGTTTTTAAACAGCTGAATGGATAAAAATAGCTAGAAGTTTTGATATGGATTGTTTTAGCAGAACAAATGAACGAATGTGTATATATGTCTTTCCTATATGTCTTGTAAATGTGTGTCCACTAGTTTTCTAGGGGTTTCTGAAGTCATTTCAGTCAAGATAGTCAAACTTCATAATAGAATAGTCAGCTTGCACTACAATAATTATTTTGTAGAAATTGATAAAAAAGATGCTAGGTCAAATGATCTTTCCTGTAAAATGCTGTTTAAAAGTCAGAAATAAATTATTTATCAAATGTTATTTCATCAAAGCTTTAAATGAGAGAGGAATTGAATTAGCATAATGATTTAAATGCTTGATTACATTTAAAATAAATTAATTATTTAACAGTTTAAATTTTTTTACCTCAAGTATTCAGGAATTCGGAGGAATTTTAGTGGGCATAGTGCATATAATACCTTATAAAGGTTGATGATGATGAACTATTTTATTTTGCAGTCAAGAAAATATATCTTGATATTTTCCAAATTTATTGCCCTAAATGTTTTGGTTAATACAGTTTTTTCTATTCTGATTGTTTTGTATTTCAGCTTCGATTTATATTTCATCATATGTATGCATATTCTTTTATACATCAAATAAAATGCTCATTTTATTAGTTTGAATTTACTATTTAATCATTTTTAGAGCATTATACTAGCAGGACACATTGAAGTACCTTCAAAGACAAGCAGTGAAAATGATGCTTCTGCAATGTCTAACATAGTTTCCCAGCCATCAATTGCATTGCAAGGGACTAAGGTTCATGCTCAGGCTGGTACGTTTTAGTATTTATAACTTTACATGATTCTTCACCTCTTAAAAATAAATAAATAAATCTTAAAGGATTAAGATAATAACACTGCACCAGAAGGTTTATTATAGTTTTTTATGCTCCCTTTGAGCTCATGCGTTTATCTATCTGGTCTTGGAGTCTCTCTGCTGACATACTTTTTTTTTTTTTTTTTTTTTTGGTCTTTTTAATTTCATTATTAAACATCACTTCTCCCACCCCCACTTACACCATATAAAATTCAACAGCAAAATCAGAAAAGTTTAGAAACACTATATCTTTAGAATTTCCAATATAGTGTTATTGTGTTGCTATACATTTTTTAGCTTACATGGCTATTATTCTCACTAAATGACAACAATCTGGCACATGGAAGTTAAAGATATTTTACATCTGATATCTTTAGTGATATTCATAAAGTGCCATACTTTTTTTTAATATTTGGTATATTAGTTTTTGAAAAATAATACATGGTGATAACACTCTTTTATTTATGTTACTTCATCATGTATTGTACCCCCCCTTTTTTTTGGTACATTTTTTTAAAAATAATCCAGCGCAATAACTTTTGTTGGCAACATTTGAAAAGGGATGCTAACCTTTTGAAGTCGGGGATTTGATTCTTGTAAGATCCTTAAAAAGACTTCTTCTTCTTTTTTTTTTTTTTTTTTACCTTATGCTTTCTTAAGAAGTCCCTTGCTGTTGTAAACAATGGCACTTTTAGTTAGTTTGATTCATCTCGAAAGAGAAGCTTTCCTTCACAAAAGGAAGGTAAATGTAGGTATTCTTGTGTAAACTGTTTAGATGGCTTTCCTTATGAAGGGAGAATTTAAAGGTGCAGTTGATTCTAAATCAGACTACTCAGTGATACACAAGAACCATCAATGAAAAAGTTTTTAGAATTTAAATAGTATTTTAAATAATTTCAACTTCTTGTTTAAAAATCTGCTAAGGAAAATATTTAATCGCAAAAATACCAAAACCAAAAGCAACTTTTAAATATTGAAAAAGTAGCTGTTGTCATTGATCACAGATTAATCGATTTATTAAGGGAATAAATCAATCTACCATCACTTAACAACTAAATTAAGAGAGTGTTTCATCTTACTATCTTACTTCTAAGTAAGCATAAAATTATTTGCTATATTCAAACCATAAGTCACAATTAATGCTCAATCCAAATACAGACATTAGTTCATTTAAGCCAAAAGAATATTTAAAACAAAATAGCAAATAATTTAAAATTAAAGTTATCAATAAGAAAACAATTAATCTGAACAAGATGCTTACTTTAGAAGACATCCCCTACACTCCCATTTTCAAATTCAAAAACAGAAGTAAACATATTAAAATATTAAAAGTAGTTTCAAATTCATAAGAAGATCAAAAATGATACACTCTTAAAATTAAGTAGTTAATTAGAAATTTAAAGGTCAAATTAGTAAAATAAAATTTACAAACTTGCCTTCAAAAATTATAAAATCGAATGGAAGTAAAAAGGTTGTCATAAAGTGCATTTCTATTTAAAAAAATTTACCAACCTTACCAAATTAAGTGCCTTTATAAAGTGATAACAAAAAAGGAAGTCTATTTTATTTTGAAGTTGTTATATAATTACTCCATATCTGTTATTTTATAGATATATTTTTTTTTAAATTTATCAGGCGTCTCCATCTAATTTTTTAATGCATCTAAAATTTGTTCATAGATTTCATGAACATAGTTACTTAAATTTACAAACATTCATGGCTTCGTAAACAAAGAAACACCATGCAAATGTTGCAGTAAAGACAAACATTATTTACTCTCATATTTATTTGTACTGTTTAATTTGTTTTGTAGTACAGTCAAAAGTCGTTAATTCGGACACCCATAATCAGGAATGATCTACAATCCGGACCTCAAAGCTACAAACGCATGCGCGTAAGACCTTTACGGCCGCGAATATGCGTGTGCGCAAAATACGTTTATGAGTGCGCGTTTAATGTATAATGGATGGTATAAGCTAAGCTAAAATTATCTAATTATCTATTTCAGTTAATGTTTCAGATTGCGTTGTTCCTTAATCTTGAAATTGGATCCGGCTTATTATTTTTTGCAGACTGTTAGAGCAATTTTATTAAAGTAAGCTTGAACTTTCGATTATGTCAAATAGAATATCTGATATATATTTACTTATATGTAAAGGATCTACAAAGCGAAAGTATGTTTCGAAGTCCATTAAACAAAAAGTGGAATTGCTGCAAAAAATGGATAAAGGCCATATCTTGTTTTAAACTTTAACGTTTGTTTATCTAAACTTTGTTTATCTTTAACTTGCGTGCGGGTGCGCAATGAATTGGAAGTTGATCTATCCTATACTTTCTTTTTGTTTTTTTTATTTGCCTATATAATTCCTTACTAAATGTAGTATTTCATCTCGATGTACTCCGTCTTTGGTATGATTTAAATCAAATTCCTCGTCATTATAATTCGTTTCCGATAGCAAAGAAAATGACAGAGGTTATTGAAAACGAAAAAATTTCGATTGACAAATTAGTCAGTATTCTCGACACAGCAATTATAGGACTTGAACAGCGGAACTTTGTAACTGAACAAGAAATTATGTCTGTTTATAGAATTAAGAATGTATTATCACATAAAAAATGAAGCAACTTAAACAACTTACATTGAAAGAAATGTTTAATAAAGTAAACAAATAAATATTAAGCTTTTTTTTTTTTTGTAAATTTTGATACCCTTTAGATCATAATTGTTCTTTATTTCATAAATTACTGTTTCATATTTTTAATTTTATAATTTGTGCATGCCATCTTACCAGATTTAAACTGATGATCTATAATCCGGAATCGCCGAAGTCCCGATGAGTCCGGATTAACGACTTTTGACCGTATAATTTATTGGAATTATCCAAATTCTTTTAAAATTTTCTCCGTGGAAGGAATAGTTAAAAAAATAAAAGATCATTGCTACATAAATGTTTAGAAAAACTATATGGATATGTTAAAATTTAAATAGCAAAAAAATTAAAATTTTAAGTCTAAATAAATATTAAAAGTTTTCTTTAAAGCATAATGCTTAAGATAATTTAACTTACTAACTAACTAAACAACTGACAACTAAACAACTTAACTGACAGTTTAAAATATGCAGTGTTTAGTTCAGATGTAACTTGTACTATACATTGTTCATATATTTCGCATTGTAAATTTTTTTAGTAAAATGCTTTCAAATCGGAAGGAGAAATTTGTGCAATGTATATAGGTTTTGAAATAATGGGAAGAATTTACAAGATAACTACAAATGAGTTTATCTTCGAATTCTAAAGCTGCAAGAATGAAAAGGGAATTACAAGGGAAACTGGATCTTTAACACAAAGACCTTTGTAAGAGATAAGCGGTTAAAACTCCAGGGACATCAACATTGGCCTTTTTTCTAATGGAAAAACACAAACCAAAAGTGGTTATCCTGTCTTTGTTTTGTAAAGATAATCATAATGGTCATTAATGGCATGAATTTTTAAAAAATTTTGACTCATAATACAGATTTCAAGTTGTACCTCCATGCTCAATTTAACAATATAATGTTTAACCAAAGAATGAAATAAATTTAAAGTCACTGTCATTTTAAAGTCATTGACTAAAATATTATTTTTTTTTATGAAAAATTAATAAAATGGACAGTTTGTCAAGTCAAACCTTAGCTTTTAACTGTGACAATAACCAAGTTATGACCTTAGTCATTTTCACATGTTGATCATATTTTTCCCAAAATTGAAGTTTTCATTTCTCAATTTTTTAAAGACTTTTTCATTGCTCTATAGAACCTTTTAATGCTGCTAATCTTAAAAAGTAAACCCTATTAATTAGGAACTTGAATTTTACAAGGAATGCAAAATTGCTAAATATTTGTTTAAGCAAGTAAGAAAAAATTGCTAGTATTTAGTTTTACAAAACCGTAGGTCCTAGTCTTTGTTTTGATTAAAAAAAAAAAACAAAAAAAAAAAAAAGTGCTCCTTTTTTCTCCTCATATAATACTCTATTATAAGGACATATATATTGTACTAATAACTGAATTTTTAAAAGGTGTTCTACTTCCCCAGGTTTTCATTTTGTTTACCCATACAGCAGTCAGGGCAAACTTTTATATAAAATTTCTTGCAAGAGTTATAAAATATTTACAATTTACATTTAAAATATTTAACATACTTACTAAAGGCACAAAAGTTTGTTTTGAATTGTCATGCTTGCTCAGATTGTACCTTAAAATGGTATTATTTAATACAAACTGGGTTCTTAATACTACAACATTTATGTACAATATGCAATGTACAATATATCTGACAATAAATACTCCATTTTATTTTACTGTTAAGTTTTAAAAATCAAGAAGAATATGAATCAGTTTTACATATGGTTTATGTATTATTTCAGTAAACTTGATGAATTGGTAATTTAATCTTGATCTTGTGTTCTTTTGCTGCATGCATGTGAAACATATGAAAATTATTTACTTTTTTAAAATTCTTTTTGCCGTTATCTATCTTATAGATTAAAACAAGCCTTGTTTTCTGTTTTGTGCTTTCTTGTATTCTGAGAAGAAAAAAGTGCTCTCAGAAATTTTCATATTGTGTATTTTTGTGTTTACGAATTTTACTCTGTTTTGGGATAATAAAAAAAAATTACTCATAACAGAATATTAATTATTTGTTTTTGCTAAGGTTTCAATGGCATTTTAATAGATCAGGGTGCAGCTCTGTTATTTATTATTCTACGTAATCATATGCTGTTTGAATCACTTGAACTTTTAATACTAGTGATCCCTGAATTAGTGGGAGTTAAGGATACCAACTCATCACAGTTGCAAATTCATGTATAATTTTTGTGTTCATGTAAACTTAAGAATTAGTGAACTCCTTTTGACAAAAAATTTTGAAAGTAATATATGCAGTAGATAAGTATGTATTTTATATTCTGTGTCTGTTTCTCTCAATATACTATGTATAGTATACAAAATATGCAGTAAAATTAT